TGTGACTGAACGATTGTTGCAAAAGCAAGAAGCGACTGGCTCCTTCTCCTCACCTGCCTTTATACTGTATGACAAGCTTATCTCATGAAATCTAACAACATAGTCGGCGCCCGCAAGCTCAAGAATCTTCAACATTGTTGCATACGACGATGAATCACTACTAACAATTGCGTCTACAGTACACCTAAATCAATTAAAGGTAACAGTCAAATTATGATCACATCATTTGAAGCTTCGTCGACTCGTCGACACTCCGCCCGGCTTGAATCCTCGCTCCGAACGTAAATGTTCGATCTTCTTTTCCAGCCGTTTCATTCTTACTCTTACTTCACCTCTCAGGTCCGGCACGACACACAGTGCGCGATGATGTCCCTTCTGCGGAGCAAGATCCTCGATGATCGTCCCACGGATTCTCTTGCAGTAGTAGCAGTCTCTTGGGCGGAATCTGCACTTGTCTTGGGGGCATTTGCCCAAACAGCGTTTGCACAGTCCCTTTCGATTCACGATTGCATTCCGATCATGCCCGTCTTGTACCTCAGGGCAGGAATCTGAGAAGTGAAGATCTACAGCATCGCAAAAAGCACAGACGTTGGCCACCCCGCTGCTGTCTCCAATGTCTCTGTAGGGAAACTTCAGAAGAACTTGTTCCAACTCGAGAGCTTGTTCGCGGAGTTGTACCACTTGTGCCGGATTGTCGGTGCATTCTTCTTCTTGCTCATTTGTCACTTCCTCGTCTCCTTGTATTTCTTGAATCATTTTCTCGAAGTAGTCTCGATCAGTTTCCGTCTCCGTTTGTGCTCGTTCTAGAGTGGCGCCTTTCTTGTTCAGCTCGGTTTCTTCCATCTTCTCATGTTCTCTTGTGTGCATAATCTCTTTGAGATTAGCAATTCTCACCTCCTGTTGTTCCACCTGCTCCTTCAGGTTTCTGATCTGCTCCGCCGTTACTTCGGCCTCTACTGTCATTTCCTTTCGGAGGATGCGAAAGAGCTGCTTTTCCTGCAACTGCATACAATCATCCAGTCTCTCTTCAGCTCTCCTTTTTTCTTTGCAGAGTTCGTCGACAATTCTTTCGAAGTTGCTCGTGCTTTGCGCAACAAAATCGAGAACCTTGTCTGCTCGCACGTCGAATTTGTGTTTCTTCCTCAGCCAATCTCTTCGAAGAGTTGGGTTGACCATTCCGTTCTGCACGTGCGCCTCGAATAACCGGTCCGTAAGAAC